CAGTGTTTCAGACGACGTAAATAAAATAGGAAAAGAATATCGAATAAATCATCGAAAGCTGCTGAGATCTCGACACTGGTCAAGAGTAGGTTCTAAAAAAGGGTCTGCTCTTTTATAGTTATGCTATAATAGTGTTCTTTTTGAGGTCCCACAGTTTTGCCTCCATTGCAGTTAAATCATTATTATGTCAGTCAATATTACAATCTATGTGATGTAATTTATCAAGAAATCCATTTACTTGTAGAATAACTGTGGTGATATGTCATTAAAAGTGTAAAATAATGGAATAACATGGAAATGTCTTTGCCTTACACATAGACACACATTTCCTACTAGGAATTTCTCAATGGAATACTTACATTAATCATAGCTAATGAGTCTAATTACTATAGTCATGTCGTATCCTTCCATAGACCGTATAAGGAAGTGTAATGCATCGATTCTCATTAACTTGTGTGAACTAATCAATAAACATTGTCTATGACTTGGTGACAACCATTTATAGTTGACAGGACCAAAGTAATTTTTTGTGATTATTAGTTTAGTTTAGAGAGTTTTTGCACAACAGTATTAGCACCATTATATCTGATATAAATATTTAACTATTAATTTAAATATTTAAATAATATAGCTATAAAGCTTGTTTACTTGAAAGCTAATTCAAGCTTTCGGGTTAATTTTTGTTTATTTTATTTTTATTATTTATTTATTTTTTACATGTTCAGAAGCCAATACGTTTGAAAACTTCGCTTGACTAGGAAGTAACATTTAACGCATTTGAAAAATATTAAAAATGTAATCTTATAATTTAATCATCAATACTTTTATGCAAGTAGTTTATTTTATATTTCTTACAAATCATTTATCAATGGATGCCAAATAAAGATAGCAATGATAAAGGCCACAGTAATCAATGACGGTTTGATATTTAAGGTTATTAATTTCAATAAATAAATTATTATGTTTACCGTAAAAATATTTATCCTTGCCTATTGTGAGGTAAAACCTGACTGACAATTCGGCCATGGAGCATGGCAATTATGACTGTGTCTAGATCGTTAAATCTAAGGAAATGTTCAATTATGTTTGTATTGTATAAAAAATATTATATGTAGAACCTGACCAGGAAAATGAAACATCTTGGGGTCATCATAAATTATGATAAATGTTATGTAGATTTAGTATAAGATCATAAATGTACGTGTATAGGCAAGTTATTTGTCACACACCACAGGAAGGGCTGCGCTATTTTCCAAAATCCCTTTACGAAATTTCATGTTTTAGATTATCGCAAAGGTCAAGAGAGATCAAGTCACCCCAGTAATGCACGATTTTTATACGTAATTGTTTCTTAAATTACGTCGGAATATAATCTGAAACTAATCGGGTTGTTTTTTTTAATTGGCATATTGGAAAACAAGCAGACACTTATTGTCTTTCTCAAATTTTATTTTTGTAGATTTATCCGAGTCTAGGTTCTTTGTGTTCGCTCACGAATGTTCGTAACATCCCCCGCGACACAGGATATATTGCTAATATGGCAGTTGTCTTTAAAAAAAAGTTAGAAGGAGTCTGAAAGTGGCTGGAAATGGTTTGTGTAAACTGCCAGTACGACCCGTGTGCGTGACATAACTTGTCATCTATTCCAATACTCATCTTTGTTTTTTTTTAAAGATAATTGAATAACTAATTTCTATAATAAAATATATATCATGGTGGGTACTATTATTCTTGTCAACCTGTCCAGTTCAGGTAAATATTAATTTGTCAAGTGGGTTTACATCAACAGCTATTTCTCTCCTACCTACTCAGGAATAAAAAAACTAAAATTACCTAAGTATATGTCAGCACAACCATAAAGCATATAAAAGCAACAAGAAACACACTATAAAACAGTTTTAATTTGACTTTATGCCTTTTTTTTTATATAATGTTGGTACGATAGTTCAAATCATTAAAAAGTAATGTAACTCATAAATTGGGAGTCAGACATCGTCAGATTAATCTAGACGTAGACCTGATTTCAAATCTAAAAAATAAGTAGGTAACTAAACTAAATCTACATATTTAAATGAGCATTTTCTTATTCACAAATGCTGTTGAATCGTGACCGGCAAAAAAATACAGCTGGGTTTACAGATAATATGTACTAGATTGAATACGCAATTTAAAATATCATTAGGTGATAAAACGAAGAGACTTATCATCTTCCTACTCTTTTCCTAAATTTGTTTGGAGTCGGCACAATGGGTTATTTTTCTTCCATTCTCCTCTATCACTCGTTAGTTCATTGCTTACGCCCTTTCTAGCCATATCCTCTTTCACGCAGTCCATCCATCTTTTGGTCGTCCTCTAATCTTATATCTGTTAGATTTCCTCAAGTCCAGAGCCATTTAAATCAATTACCATCATCATCGACAGCTTTTAATAGTCCAGTGTTGGACATAGGCCTCTCCTTAGAAAGGAGATTTTTAAGTTTTTCTTTGCAGTGCTTTTGTCCTGCGTAGGTTGCTCCTTTAGTCGACGCTTTAAACACCCACGGGCTGAATAGGAGTGGTGACACTCCTTATTCTAAAAACGTCACCACACGTTACGATATGAATATATTCTGTCTACATATTTATGCATACACCCCGCTAAGCTAAGCTCGTTCACTCCATACATCTTCTGATCTACTATAAAATGTCTATGTATGGTCTCAAAGCGACTCACTGATAAAGATAACAGTTGATTAGTAGTCACAACGTTACTCCTAACGGCGCTTTGCTCTTTAATTTTCATTTGAGTGGCAGTTACCAAAAATGGCTTTAAGATGCACAGATGTACAAGTATGCATGCCTCGAGCCGAGAGTTCTTAAATCGAAAGTAGAACTGGTTTGAGCTGATTTGGTGGAGTTATTCTCTATGGTCTTTGAGCTAACAATAATATGAATGTTTTTAGAGTAATAAAATAACATTATATCGAGGATCATAAACCTCCGTAGTAACGTAGTAAAGCGTAAAATTGTTGTTTATGCTTATGGATTGATTTTATGCGTATTTGTGTTTTATAATAATTTTTAATTTATAATAATTATCAGTGCTAAATGCTAATAAACAGTAATAAACTTAGGAGCTTACTTGGCACATTAAAATAAAAAGATAGAATGTGAATTTAATAATTCTTACATTGGAGATTTTAAAGAAGAAAGTAAATGAAGAAAAAAATCATTCGAGTTAACGCGTATTGTTTAATGTTAGTATTAGGGCTTAGGTATTGGAAAAATTATGGAATATTTATTAAGAATGAGTGCCGCTTTGTACGCGTATGGTCCGTAAGTGTTGTCTATGGATGACACTTGTGACGTCACATAGTAGGACATTTTAACAGCGCATTGATTACAATTATTCGGCTGCTATTTCGCAAGGTAGGTAGATGCCTATCCTGAGTAGTGGTCTCGACAGACAGAGGACCTCTCTATGATCTTAATTCATTAAATAAGATATTAGACTGTTAAAATTCGAAGCTTGGACAAGGAGATTTGCAAGTTTTTTTTTAAAGGCAACTCCCTCACTAGGAATATATCCTGGGTCGCAGGGGACTTTACAAACATACATAAAACGGACACGAAGGATACCAAGACTCAGAACCTCAATTTTTGGATCACACAAAGTATTGTCCGATGTGGGGATCGAACCCCTAACAGTTACCTCGGTAGGAAGCGGCGAGGTCGCCGTTCAAACCATAACGCCATCCGTGCAGTCGTTAGAGTTTATGCTTTAACAAGGAGATTTGCAAGAATTCCTTAGAGTTTCACACAATGTAAGTACTTACTGATTCTTTCATATTTTTTTTATTGTTTAAAACTGTAATTTAGCAAAGGATGTCCTCAAGACTAGAGTACCTAGTAATAATTACATGAAACAAAAGGCAATTGAAGCCTTGATGTTGGAAATACATATATTACCAAGAAACGAGGCTGTGGTAGCAGGTCAATGACACGTACATTTGACTGCGTAAAAACAGCTGATTGAAGTATTAAACTTCCTGCTCCATTTTGTTTCACTGTTTATATTGTAGTTTCAATAAAAGCTTTAAAGTCATACAGTTTGGTATAAGTAAATTCATATTTATCGTATTATTATTTTGGGTGATTATGTCGTTGTGAATCTTTCTAACCTTGGTGTTCGAAATTGACCTTGAATCAGTCAAATCAATTGAACTAGTTTAAAAAACTGGAAAGTACATCCTATCCACATGTTGTGCCTCTTGAGTTTTATCAGCTCGCATCATGAAAAAAATGGTGCAAAAGATTTAAAGGAGAGTATTGTTGAAAGCTTTCAACGTACGCTCTAAATAATGTGTAAATTGTCTTTAAAAAAAAGTGTAAGTGGTTCCATTTTAACTGCTTTTTAAGCCTTGCTAGAAGTTTAGAACCTTAACGAGCATCTTACTGATTTGCAACCCGTGTGACCATTACCTATGTAATTTTCACATTTGAATTTTAATTATAAAATTTGGGAACACAAACATTATGTAGTCCTTTCTAAGCCACTTAATTCAAACGATAGATTAAGAAGAAATAATAAAATTAAATGTCTTTATCTTTTTATAATATTATTATCCTTAAGGGCTAGCGAACACTAAAGAATAAGTGGACAAAAACCATGAAACTTCATGTTAGCTATAAATTCTCATTTTACGAGAGTTGTATCACAACTTGCGCTTTTTCGATGCCATAATAACATTTTTATGTGCAACAATATACTAATTACGTTCCCAATCTTTGCTTCCATTACTCCGCCTTCTCGTTAAGCCACATTGAACTCGTAAGATCGCAACAATCATTAAAATCGTGTTGTAAATTCCAAAGTGCAATTAAGGGGAAGGCTCCCTATTTTTAGCCGATGTTCTCTTTTTTCTTTTCAAACGAGACAGGACGGGTTGCTGTGTCATTCCCCTTAAACCTAAGGAGGGCTTCGTAACTACATAATACGCAAGTTATACACGTACCCGAGAGATGGGCTCTCCTGATTATAATTTAACATCTGCGATTGAGTTGGAATTACATGTGCCTGTATGTGATTGACCATCTTTGGATGTTATTTTGTTATAGGTTCTCAATGTTTTTTGTTTGAGACATATACTATATTGCAACAGACTTTAATATACTGAAATTATATTTGTATAACTACTTACACGACAAAGTAATAAGACGCATATTGTTGGGAAGAAAACACTACAATATTTTAATGGTGGAGTAAAATAAATAAACTTGAATAAAAATTAAAGAAGAATTGTTTTTTTATTTTTATGTTAGAGGGGGCAGACAAGCAGACGGGTCAACTGATGGAAAGTGACCGCCCATGAACGTCTGCAACTCAGGAGTCACAAACGCGTTGCCGGCCTTTTAGGAAGGAGTACGCTCTTTTCTTGAAGGACTTTAAGAAATTACTAAATTAGTTTAATTTAATTTGGACTCTTAAGTAGAATGAAAGATATCGAAATTTAATAATTTCTAGTATGAAAATTATGTAAGAATGTTGTTAGTTAAATTAATATTAAGCAGATTATTAAGTCAAAGTGGTATCTTCAGATCTTTTTTCTACCGTGCCTACGCACGGCGATGTGTATGTAATAGTAGATACGTTTTGCTGGATTCTTTCCACAGCTATTCTTGTAAGAATATGAATCGTTGTTAAATCGTGGAAGAACCATTCCTCGGCACATAGGTATGGGCCGACTCCACCAGAGTGAAAAAAGGCTCCTAAAAGAACCAGAAGACCAATTTTCGTAAGAAAAGTTCGGTCTCAATTCGGTTCCGATCAACTTTCGATCTCACAACTGTCATAAAAAGTATTTTCGTAGTAAATTCAACATCCAACATTGACTTTAATGTGATTGTATCGCATTGTGAATGAATTAAATCGGTAATCTGCTAGTCTTAGTAATACTTTACATTTTTACTACGAAAATGTCTTTTATGACAGTTGTGAGATCGAAAGTTTATCGGAACTGAATTGTAACCGGACTTTTATTACGAGAATTGGCCTTCTGGAGTTAGGCAAATCTTTCATTTGCTTTTTACCGGGTGAGTGGAATGGTGTGTGTGCAGATATTCATGAACCTAATAATAAAAATACAAAACTATATTTATGCTGGGCCGTATTCATCCTAAGATCCACTGCAATATATATATATATATATATTTATATTAAAAACGTTCCCAAATTCCTTTTTAAACCTATTCTATAAAGATTGTAGTATCTATCTCTATCTATACCTTTACTACATTTGCCCGCAATTTTTCAAGAGTAAAGTATGCCCATGCCAAATTTCTATAAAATCGGTTCATCGGTTTAGCAGCAGCAGAAAGCAATTTTACGACAAAATGATTTTTCTTTTTAATTATTTTATATAAAGAAAAATATTTACTTAGTATAAAAGCGTTTTGTTTTTGTTATTTAAACTATAATTTATTTTTGTTTATTTCTTACGTGCTAATGGTTTTGTTTTATTGTACTTTCAGTATCCATCGCCTGCAGTTACCAAAATAGCAACGAGTGACAATACAGCAATAAACAATGGGTATGTGTGAATACGAAGGGTTCATCGCTTATAAAGTCTAAGCCTATTCATTAGCACGTCCGATCAGCATTAAAACTACATCGTATGCTGCCTTTTCCCTTTACTCAATTATGACGTTTTTTTCTTACAGTATACACGGGCAACCGCAGCATCATATTGAGCCTACTGCAGGCGCTTTACCAGACAATGCAGCTGATCTGTCGAGCGCAGCTCGGGGACTACTCATGAGGTTATTAGAACGTGATCCACGGGTCCGCATGAGAAATTTGAGACAACTCCAACAATCAGCTTTTTATATGGGATTTAATATTGAAAATGTGAAAGCGAGAAAAGTAAGTTTAAGTAAAGTAAGAAAACTTATAGTATTAGTATACATAATATAATGTATAAACATATACAAGGATACATGGGGACAAAGCAGCTTGTGTTCATGGTTCGTAATTTGTATTTAAACAAGGAAACCTCATAAGGCCGAATACTACTGCCTCGCTTCAGGAATGCGTGTAAATTTCAGAATAGTAAAATAATAATGTTATACTTTCAAAAACGCCATTACGCATCGCACATTCTAAGCCAAACCATTTTTAGAGCCAGGAAAATATAGAAGCGCCTGTAAGTTTTGTTAAGCAACTGATTCTGGAATTTAATTTATATGGTCTCTTTTATTTCAGTTATCACCGAAAAGTATTTTCGAGAAACATTTTCCCAATGTTGCTGAAGATGAAGCCCAGGCAAATGAACTACGCATAGCAGATGAAAAAGCGTTTTTATCGTTTGATCAATCGATTGTTATATAACAAAATTCGCTAAAAGGTTTATAGAATAATACAGTTAAAAAGCAATAATAGATAATTTCATATAATACCTTATACTTAATCATTTATTGTCATAGAGAAATTGTTCTATGATATTGGTGGTTAATTTAAAACGACATAGATAATATAATATTATTATTAACTTTTGTGGCCTAAATATAATATTAGTTTCTTATATTTTTGCATTTCATAGTATGACCTGTTGTAGGTACTTTCATTACTACTACAAAGTTGGAGATTTTTATATTTAAATAATTATTGAAATATAAAATTTAAAAAATACTCAATGTAGACTCGAATGTTACTTAATTTACTAATTGTATTTCAGCGTTTGTTTTAATGTTGATGTTATTTAAAATCGATTGTTATCATAAAGGTAGTGCCATGCGTAGGTCTTATATCGACTTTGGAAACAGACAAAACATAGATACAAAACAAAAAAATTGTTTAGTTTTTATGATTTAGATTTTTTTAAACACCTAATTACACATAACTTAAGAGAATACCTAATACTAAGTTTTATGACAAGAGCATAAGGGTTTGGTTATAAAATTAGGGGTTACGAATAAAATACATGACGGTGTTAGACAATATTAATGTAGTAAAATAAATTTAATTTCAAAAGTAATAATTTCGTTTTATTAGAGATATTTCTATTTATGACATTATTCATATGGCATATAAAAAGTTTTTTTTTTGTTTAAATAAAGTTGTACTATAATAGTTCTTTTTTGTTTTTATGTTCATATTTAAGAATCTTCCTTAACAAATTAGTAAAAAAACAAAACAAAGAAAACGAAAAACAAAAAAAAGAAAACAGACAAACAAAAATAATCATCTAAGGTAAGATGGTAATATCGATAATAGAGTACTTATTCAACATTGACACAAATAGATAATAGTAAAGATGCGACTGATAGTAAAATTTAGTACAGCTGATAATAAAATACAACCCTATTGGATGAACCAAACTTCGAGTATAGGTATAGGAAACATTACTGGGACGTTCCTTGCTCTTCTTCTTCCGTAAGACTATACAATTACCCAGAGACCCATTCCAAAAACGTATTTTTCTTACCTAGATACTCCTTAAGTACGTTATGAAAGACTAAACTCAGACGGATCGATCTAAGTGGCATGCTATTGGAGAGGCCTATGTCGTCATGTGATGTGACATCAAAACATTAAGGGACATTCCCTGCTCTTCTTTTCCTATAACACTTCCATGCAATTACCTAGAGACCAATGGAATATTTGCAAAAACGTCTTTTTGTTACTTAGATACTCCTTAACTACGTTATGAAAGACTCCCGACGGATCGATCTAAGTGGCATGCTATTAGAGAGGCCTATGTCCAGTGGTGGACTGCAATAGGCTGGTGATGATAATGTGCCACATACCTATCGTTATCTTTATAGATTTATCATTGATTTCAGTTTGAAAACGTTACTCAAGGTTGAATGGAGTTAATCTTTAGTATCCCTATTTCTTTGTGGTTTAGGGGATATAGATGGGGCAAAATCACAGTGAACTGTGAATTAATGGTGATGTATTATTCAGTTTTTTCGTACGTAGTTTAGGGTTAGGTACTACTTACTCACGCGTTGTTGCTTATAGCTATTTCGCCTATTTAACAGTAAATCTCGTAATTATTTTATTATATAAGTAAAGCTACCTTTCCCTACATAATAATTAAAAAGTACTAGATTTACTGTTAAATAGCGTCTAACCTACTTACCTAGCAACCCTAACCTACGTACTCAAAAATCAAGGGGTGCTAGGCTAGAAAACCTCCACGTGGTGAACCCTGGAAACGTTGGCGATGGCGCTGGTTTTTTCTCCGCTATTTGGAGGAGGGCATCATCGCCAACGGCCAATATTCTAGTACGAAGAGGAGGCCATCCTTCTTCGGCCATTCTGTCGAGGCCTGGTCCAACAGAGCGGGCGTGCCTGCCGATTCCTCTGTTGGCCTACGCTCTTAGGAGCTTTGAGGAGAAAAACCTCGATAAAAAATCACGAAGGTGGGACCATTTCACGGGTCGGAGTTTCTCCACTATCATCGGTGGAGAAAAGAGGACGGGCTCGTTTACTTACACTGCCACCGAGCAGACGTAAGGAGAGTTTATCTTCCTGCCGCCGTCGGCATATCGTAATCCCTTAAGGAGTGTCGTAGTTATGTCTCGCGACTCCGATCGGGGTCGAGGGTCTTGGCTTAGCCGCCCGGACTGCGAGGAAGAAAACCTCTTTAAAAAATAACCCCGAATACCGTGTACTGGTGCGTGGCCAGGGGATGCATGGCTGATGGGCAGTTCAGTCGCAAGCGCACTCCCAGCCGAGGCACCTGCGGAGCCTTTGGTTGCGCATAAATTTACGCTTGATCTACTCCTATTTTAGACGCAGAGTGGCACACCGTGTGGTTTTAGTCGGTCCGATTCCGACACACCACCCTGCCGCAAACCCCGGTAGGGTGACGGCCCGAGGGGGTTTCCACACGTATGATTTTGTCCCATGTCTAGTGGGGGTAAACGAGCAGACGGGTCACTCCATGCAACTCAACAGACACAAGCGCGTTGACGGTCTTTGAGTGCCCTCTCCTCTCAGAATATGGAGCGGAGGAACGGTTTGGGCTCCAGTAACTTCACTCACTCAGTGAAAAGCAACGAAAGCATTGTTTAAAAACCGGTTTTATGTGAGGCCCTGGTATACGTACCATAGCATGACTCGGATGACATGGTTACGATATTGTACTACGAGATAGAGCCACAAAAGACATTGGTTATAACTTTCAAATGTGCTCCACTCCCTCCTTGTCGGTACCGTTCGGAAAATGATAACAATTAGTTCTCATTGCTTTGAACATTTCAACAATTGTAGTTAAAGAAAGTTGTAACAATTTCAAATAATTAGTATTAAAACCGTTCTACTGCTTTAATAAACCATCTATAAGATTCTTAGGGTTACTCACTCCATAATTTTGAACAGATAGAGATACGGACTTTGAACATCTCTAGAAGATAGTATACGTAAGAAAATAAAGACTTCCGCCATAATAGGTATTGAAAACCGACAGACACGACATGTTCTGTTTATAGCACTTTTCTGTGACAGAAAATGAAATTCACATAATACATCTACTCTACGCTACAGAACATGTGACCTATGTCTGACCTACGTTCGCCTTCAATATTTCGCAAGTTCATAGACAAAGCTTAAAAAGGTTAATTTTACCTACATTAAAATCTCTGCGTTGTTTATACCCTTCATAATTTAAAATTAAACTGCAGTATTTTATTTAATAGTCTATGCTTCGTAATCAGCTAGATTTCATATTTGACATTTATTTCTAATTTTTTCGGCTCATTCAGCACTAGTCGTTTAATAGTATAAGTATAATAGAAGAAAAATAATCAAAGTAAAAAAGGTGCCCAGTATTTAAATTATATTCTTAATTTTATTATTTGTAAAAATATGGCAATTTTTAACTTTACAAGTGCAACATTTGAAGCTGTTCGGCAGTACGCCCAGAAGCATTTCAATGGTAAGTATATCACATTTATATCCCACATGAATTTTTAGCGTGAAAATAGACAAGCATGGAAATGGGATAGTTAGCTTGTAGTGTTTGGTACGTATACATTGTTACATATCAACACCGGGATTCTTCGGCACGATTGGGTCGGCTCGACCGTAGCATCCATGGCCTCACAGAAAACCGATGTTCAGCAATTCATTTGTTGCTTCTCACCGAATGAATGAGGTTACCGAGCTCAAACTCCTTCTTCCCCTTATTGTAGCCACGGATAAATTTAGGTAAGGTAGACCTGGTTGCCACACCTTGTTTTTAGTTATATGCAATTGAGCGCATGCAAATTCCGATTTGCTTAAAAAAAAAAGTATGATAGCTCGGCTAGTATGGACGATGGGTACGTAATTTTTAGCTTATAGCACTCAGGGATAATGCAGCTATATATATATATATATATATATATAAATTAGTGAAAGAATTTTTAGAATCGGTTCAATAGTTTTGAATCGATTGCAACCTTAAAACTCAAAATCCGTGATGTGATTAACGAAATAGACCAGCCATTTTGCCAAAAAGTGATTAAAAATTTGATGAAAGAATCGACATCTGTCAGCGTGCTCGTGGTAGACATTTGCCAGTTATCATTTTCATTCATAATTGCCAAAGTTTTCTCTTCGTAATACAATAAAAATTTGAATCATCTTCATCTAAATTCTTGTTTTATTTTGTTTTAGAAAACAAAGTTCTTGTTGAAAACCCTTTTATTATATTGTGTATACTAAGAATAATAGAAATCATTGAATGAGTAACAAAAACTTATTATAGTAGGCATAATAGCTATTCACTTTCGATTTGCGATTTTTTTTCTTTCTCGAATGTTACAAAATTTTATAATAATCGAATGAAAAGACGGCAGTGCATAATATATAATACAAACAAGGTATTTAGACTTTCTTTTTGAATGCGCGTCCATGTGAAATTGCCACTACCTTAAAAAAAAGGTATTGATTTTTCAAGATTATTTTACACTAGTAACATGATTTTCCTATTGTCAATTGTGAAGAAAAGAGTGACAGACGACAGTTGCTTTACTTCTGATCGACAATACATTTATTTATTTAAAAATGAATAATTTGTTGAAACGAGCTGCGATTCAATATTTGCAAGCAAACGCGCGATCTTCTTCGCACGCTGCTACAGCTGGAGGCCATGGAGGTAAGGCAAATTTGATGAAATTTGGATTATGTAACCAGATAACCTAAAGGTTCTTATCTTCCCTTTTAATTTTTTTATTTATCCACTCTTTATTTTCTTATGTATTATATTCGTTAATATAAATATTATTTTCATGTTCTCTCTGCCTTATGCTTGAATATTGTTGGAATTGTATCCATATTTTTTTTTGTACTTATGTATATTGTTTTCCAATATAAAGCTACTATCTAATTGTTGTGATGCTACCATAGTTAAATACAAAAGTCAATTAATAAATTATTGTTAAAGTCCATAGTTCAACATCAAATATTAATTGTTTATAGCCAAAAAAGCAAAGTGTATCTATCTTATTAGATATCATGTACATTATGTCCGTACAAATACTCTTAGAAAACACTTAATGAAAACAGATCATGAATTAAGAAAGTGTAGAAGTCTAAAAAGAAGTAAATAGATTTTTATATTCTTTTGGTTTGGAATTCTTACTGATAAGATAGAGAAACATTATTATGAATGGAATAGCAAAACCTGCAATTCATATTAGTACGAGATCCCGCTGCAGGATTGGTGCGTTCATCGATTTTTTGTTTAAAACCAAATTTTTATGTTTATTTATAATTAGAAGAATATACATTTACTAGGGTGCCTATCAAAATTTGGCCGCATTATTTTTAATTAAATTATTTTTAACTGATTTTTGGTTAAAAATTTCGTTTATTTATTTTTTAAATAAAATAACGTCTACATCACGGTAATTAATATGAAGATTCTAAAAAATCACGGTTGCCGTTGCGCACCTGGCCGCACCTCTTTGCAGCCTGGTGTAAACAGGTATGATTTCGATAAATTTATACGTTTATAACGTATATTTATTAATTATATGTCAAATTGAAGCTAATTTTTTTCTATTAATTATCATATATGGTTGCTTAATTAAATCTGGCCGCAAATAAGGGTTACTGGCTGTTAAAGATGATAAATATTTAAGGTAGAGTGAAAGAGAGTTAGCGCGTAACGTCATTTGTCAGACAAGGACAGCGGTTGCCGGCTGTGCGACGCTTTTAAGCCATTGCGCATGCGTAGAATGTTAGTGTTCTCAACCACCGGGGAGTAATAGAGAGGACTTATAATATTTATCATCTTTAACAGCCAGTAACCCTTATTTGCGGCCAGATTTAATTAAGCAACCTTATATGAAAATTAATAGAAAAAAATTAGTTTCAATTTGACATATAATTGATAAATATATGTTATAAACGTATAAATTTATCGAAATCATACCTGTTTACACCAGGCTGCAAAGAGGTGCGGCCAGGTGCGCAACGGCAACCGTGATTTTTTAGAATCTTCATATTAATTACCGTGATGTAGACGTTATTTTATTTAAAAAATAAATAAACGAAATTTTTAACCAAAAATCAGTTAAAAATAATTTAATTAAAAATAATGCGGCCAAATTTTGATAGGCACCCTAGTAAATGTATATTCTTCTAATTATAAATAAACATAAAAATTTGGTTTTAAACAAAAAATCGATGAACGCACCAATCCTGCAGCGGGATCTCGTACTATATTCAATAGGTTTATAAAAAAAGTCTATGTAATAAATTATATAATGTATTAATATTGCAATTAAAAGTGACTACCCACAGAATTACAGTAACAACATGTCTTTAGACCATCAGTGCCTTATTTGTTTGGTTATGGGGTGAAAAATCCCTTCAGACCTCTAGCTTCTAGGAGCTAGGAGTATGTGGTGTTTTCACTAAAATCCACCCCGAAAGCCAGTCTCAGACGCCCTACTCTGGGGAGGACCTGGACCATGTGATTCCAGGTCCCCAAAGGCTAGGCTAGCTGGCTAGAACTTGATAGTGCACTCAACTGCTAAGCCTGAAGTCACTGGTTGGATTCCTGTTCAGTGCTTATATTTGTAGGCAGACCTATTTCTTGGCGTTTCATTGATTCACTGAGTTGCAATTCCCAATCACGGCTTCATGATTTGGAATTATGTCCCAGGAGTAGGTTTACGCAGTACTGTTTGCGACACGTTAGTGCTCACCTCCACTGTCTGCTGTGTTACCCCCTCTACCTAACTATATTTGATGCGAGCCTAGCAATGCTTTTTTTGGATATTCGTCCAAGAAAAGAGCTTACTGAAGCTCTTAGCAATCCAAGGTTTTTAAACAGGTTATAGAGTACACACTTTATTGACATTAAATAAAGAAATATATCTCGTCTGGACAGTGGCACAGATATCCACCGGTATTCTGTAATGATTTTTATACATGTCCAATAAGATGTCTGTATATTTCCATGCATAATTTATATGTATTTACAAACAGAAAAGTGTATGTTCATTGTGTTCTGAGACCACTAATACAAACTATGGTTAGTGTGGGTCAAAAACATAATAAGTGAAAAATAAGAAGTAATCTTGTCATGTGTCAAATAATATGGTTATTAAAATTTGTCACCAGGTGGCTGGAAGCTGTGGAAGAATATGACCTTCTTTGTGGCATTCCCTGCCATTGGTCTTGGTATGGTTAACGCATACCTCGCTCACCAGGAACATCATCATGATGAACGCCCTGAATTTGTACCTTTTGAATATATGCGTGTCCGCACCAAGGTAAATATTATATACTTGTTTTAGACATTCGTGAGGTAGCTAAATGAGGTAGCATGTGTAGTGAACGGAGCTAACCGCATTCGCGAGATTATAATCAATGTCGAAGCCTTAACCATAACGCCAACGCCGCCGCTGGCGCCTAATACTTAAATTACTCGATAAATTACTCGATTATTATTGTTATGTTATGAAACAACTTTATAATAAACGTAAAAAATTGGACGACAGTACTATTAAAAGGATATACACCAAGACCCCTAATAAAGACCAGTGAAGTGTGTGTGCCCGACGAGCGTGCTGTAACCCACACCCCTTGTGTTCCGTAGTGCTGAAAACTCAACTGTTTTGCGGCGTAACGGCAATGCGTGAAAACATACGTTTGAGTGTATGAATGTTTTTTATTTTCGTTTATTTTGTCTAATATGTGATCTAACAACAAATATTAAATTAATTTATCTTTAAAATATAAAATTAATTGCGGAAAACCCTCGAAGGCAAGTCTGCTTTTAATATAAACTTCTAAGTGAAGTGTTAAGCAGTCACCTCGCCGCTTACCGCCGTTTATTAATCCTAGGAGTTTATAACTCAAGTTTTAGTTAATGATATTCTGTTTATGAATCATTAATAATATTGTAATTATAATGCGACATTGTAGATCCGTACTGAAAATTACCTTTATACAATGACAATCAAAAATAAAAACCGCCAATTTTAAACAAATAAAATAATATTTAAATTATAACAATTAGTTTCTGTTTTTCTTTAGTTTTATTTCCTGCAGTCACTTGAACACACTAACACCTTCAGCCACATAAGAAATACTACTACTCTCTGTGCGATTGATGTGTACCCTCATTTGCGAACTTACCACAGGTAAACGCAATTCACTGTATATATATTTCACTTTACTTTTTCCATTTACAGCGCTTCCCGTGGGGAGATGGCCAAAAGTCCCTGTTCCACAACCCCCATGTCAATGCTCTGCCCAGCGGCTACGAACACTAACTTCTCGAGGTTCCACTTTAATAAGTTAGTGCGAATGTGCAGATTATTGTCTTAGATTACAAATTAAATTTTATTGTGATAAGCGATTAAATAAAATGTTTTAAAAAGTCTAGTGTCTTATTTGAATACTCTCTATAAATATTTTGTGAGTCTCGCAAGCCTCTGGAGCACAGAATAGTGAATAAACATAATAGTTTATTCACTGTTCTTTGTTCTGGAGAGTAGCAATTTTGAAAATAAACGACAAATGATTCAGCCAAGAAAAATTAATTTTCGTTGTGCCACACGAAATTGTTTCTACTATGTAGGACATAAGTGATACAATGAATTAATATTGGTTGTTCCGTGCTTTGACGAATTTACAGTCAGAATCATAGTCGTCATAGCAAAACATCTCATCCTTCGTTGGGTAGTGACACTTATAGTGTCCCATGCCAGCGTCGCTAAGTATTGTATGGGTCATTCTAAATAATTTCGTTACCTATCTACTCTCAATCATATTTTTTTTAAGTCAAATCTATTTACCGAAGCATCTTAACTGAGGAGCCAGTTAAAATGTGCCATATCTCCTAATTCACTCATTTTTAATTACTGATTTTTACACTACAAATTTAACACACTACTAAATGATGAAGAAATTGCGCATCAATTGAAAAACTGCTACTTTTAAAAAATGACAGTCGTATGTATGGTCTGAAGACCCACATATATAATGTATGGTAACTTTTTTAATTTTAACATTACCGAGCTCAGATTTTGTCTACTAACTAATGTCAAATACTACAAAATCATACTAAATTATCATATATATATTGTTATAGGTGAATTATAAAACTATTATTTTTGAAGTGGAACTTTTTTTTGAATAGTTGTAATTTGAAACTCGATGAAACAAAAATGCGTCACGACAAAGAAACAAAAACAAATGTATAGGATTAAGTCTGTGAGAGAATGAGATAGAATACATTACACATCATTTTTAATATAATATTTTAACCGTGTGAATATTTTTATGTAATACTAACTGGTACCCGCGTAGAATTTGAAAAACGCTGCCTTAGTAGATTCGATTCCCGGGCCGGGCAAATTTTATAGGGTTTTTCTGATAAAAAAAAATCGGAAGTTTCACTTCTAGCGTGTGTGAATTGCATACACACACTTTTTAATCACAAATACAAATACCTATTAAATATTTCTCTAGAAATATGTGAATGATATGGTTTGTAAAGAAAAGGTCTGGGATGATTTTCTGGAATATGTAGCTTCCGGTTGATCCCTTTCGATCGTCCAGCAGTAGTTAGCCAACATCCTTAGACTCCATCTACCTTGGTTACTTGTTGTGGTGGGTCTTCTTATTTGAAATTTCCTGATGGAACCTTTCTTTAAAATTCTCGGGGAAAAATCCACGGCGAGTCTAGAAAATTAATTTAAGGTGACTTTTGCAACCCAAAGATATATATAAATAGAAGCTCGTTAATCAATTCTTTATGGTTCTCACTCTTACAGTTACCCAAAAAAATTGCAACCGTTCTAGAAAAATTGCCCAGCTGATTTTTCTAAAACGGTTTCAAATTTTTATGTTAAGTCTTATTGCTGAAGATAATTAGGGTATATGCACGTGACACCAAAATGGACAAAATATTTTTATTTGTAATTTTTTATTGCTAAAAAAGATACCCATACAATTATTTTTGAAATTTATTATAATTTAACAGTGAAATTTAATCATCAAAAATTGGCTTTTTTAAGATTCCCTCGCAAATTTCTAAAACGCAACGCTATTGGTTGAATAAAACATGACGTCAACCTACACCTTCAAGAGTGTCAACAAGTTGTATGTATTTGTAATATTTGGTTTCTGGTGATTATTTGTTTCATTTTAAGTTAATAACTAATACGTTTTCAGTGTTAAATTATTAAATTCCCGTGTAGAAAGACTCAACACAATGACTGAATATACTTTGTCAGGTGCAGTTTTGATATTATTTGAACACAAAGGAACGGCACAATATTTATAATAAGTTTTTATTGGCTTTTCCATGGTAATAAGTTAATTTTTATCACTCACTTTATTAACTTTGTGAACTTCACTCCGTTATTGACATCGAATTCGTCTGAAAGTGTAATCTGACGTCACAAAAAAAGCGCGCCAAAATGGACGTGTTCAAATTGCCCCAAAATGAAAGTGATTTTAATAATTTTTTTTTTGCTTAACGCTTTATATTTCGGATGTATTATATTTATTTTTGGTAATGTAATAACTAGTAGAATCGTTTAAAAAAATAAAAAAAATACTTGCCTATTCCCTATTAGGGTATCGAACTGTGTATTTCGCCTTTGATTTTGTACCCTTAATTGGAGTAAGATAAAAATAGCAGTCTGAAACATGATCAGTCCATATCAGCTCAGTCTTTATTATGGGAATAGCAAACGGCATGAAAGAGCTTGATTCGCGGTTTCATGGTCACAGTTTTAACCTAACCCAGAAAATTCAATAACAGTAGATGGTACCCGACTAGAGGATTCGATCCCGGGATCCCAGTCATATTTTAGTCCCGAAATTTTCGGGATCATAAGTCAATAAAAATGTGCGTAAAAAGAAACGCCCTTGCCTTGATTTGATGTTTTGACAGCCATCTTGTCTACACAGCTGATTTCATTTGTTTTTGCTAATGCCCGGTTCTGGATTATGCGTAAAAGTATATAATTTATAAAGTTTCTGGGCAATTTAATTAAAAATATGAGTAGGTATCTATAAACATTGGTCTCTTAAGCATATAGTTTTTTTTTTATAGTTTATCTAAATAAGTCTAAAGAAGTTGATTTTTTGAAGTATATTATTAGTTTCATAAATTATTTACGGCACTAGTTTGTTTATTTTATAAGAAGAAAGTATAATTTTGTTTAACCGCCTTTTTGGAGATTTAAAACTTAAATAGAATATTAAGTTTTAAATCTCCAAATGTCCTCACAAAACTAACTGATAAACAAAAACTTTCCATTGCCAAAACAATCCCGGGACTATCCCGGGATCCCGAGATTAACTGTAGATAATCCCGAAATCCCGGGATTATAAAAATCGACCGGGATCGAATCCTCTATACCCGAAATATATAGTAGAAGAAGAAAACACAAAAAAATATTAAGACAAATATTAATAATAAAGAAGACTTTTTAAAGTATATTAAACGTTACATAGAGCTTTTGAATACAAATGCGTAACTGAATATTACACTAACTGAATCAGAATCTTAATTTTGGCAGTTTATTCGAAGAATTAAAAATCGGAATGTCGCTTTTCGGACCAAGATTTCATCGAACATTCGATTCTTCGAACGTATAAAAATCGGAAAATGAATACATCTACAGTGAATTTTAATAGTAGACGTTGTAATTCTTAGGTATTATGAAATTCGGACTTTTGAAAATCGGAGCATCGAAATTCGGAATACAATATTTCGGAGTATTTGGGTGTTCCCATTACAATTTACTGTCTTAAAATTGGATTTATTGGTGGAGCTTGCCGCTTCTCGAAAATCCGAAATCGTATAATTAGCCTTTTTTTAATTGAAAACTCGACTTGGTGGTGAACCTGGGCACAGCTCATAAAGGATCCAAATAATATAAAGTTACTGATTCTGTTACAATCAATTTCTATTTATCATGTGTTTTAACAATGAAAATAACAGCCAGTTTTTGTTCTTGGAGCTGCAATTATCTGACCAAATATTAATTCCCTTAACATCTTGGTTAGCGAATGAGAAAAAATAATATCTTCCTGCTTTCGTTCTGCATAGAAATCGTGCCAATTAACAGCCAAAGCTTTGCATTCGTTAGTTATTTTACCAACTTGTGTAAATGTTTGATTGAATGCAATGAACTGCTGACAGAAAATTACCGATTTAAAGGAATCAATCTTGGGTAATATTACCTTTTCTAGGTCCGAACTGACAAATATCTGCGATTCATTTCGAGGTATATTCTTATGCAGCTCATACAACTCCCTTGCTATCCTATATTTCACATGGTGCTTAGCCCACTCTACACAAATAGTACAGTCTTCAGTAGTTTGATTATTGGCATCATGATGGTGGTGATTATTGGCATCATCATTGAGGTTGCTTTTTATGCAAGTTATACGTCTCACAAGCCTCACATTTTTCATATCAGTATAGTAGAGTAGAGTATGATCATGTTTTTAAAAACTCTTTTTGGGTTCGGTGGTATACTTCCTTTTAGGAACTGCTACTGATGTATTTGAGACGACGAATGAATGATGCCCAAGTCAAGTTCCAATACATTTCATTAATGAGATCTCACTCTTCTTGGTGTAATTTTTTAATTGCATTTCTTGAGGCATTTGTCACTGCATCCCATTTTAACAATGTGTTAAATTCTTCTCTTATTTTTAGCATATATTTTCGCTGACGTAAAAATATCTTTACATATTATCTTTTTATATTATATAATATCTTTTACATTGCGGTGTTACAGGCTGCAATATATTTGTTTCTAGTTCATGTTCTGTAAAGTGTATTTCATTTGTACTAAATCTCCATATTCCTTTGTCGACTGTTGTCGATGGGGCTTTCTTAGACTTTTCCGGAATACAAGGAAGAGTGTTAGTAAAATTTGGAATATTTTTAGTCGTAGGTAACTTGAGTTGATGTAACTGAACGTGAGCTTTTTTTCTTTGAATTTGCTTTATTTTGTAAGAGTTTGGGCTGTTGATTGTTTTTGGTAACCACATGAATATTATATTGTCCAGAGTCGCCACTTGACCCAGACGGATAATAATTTGTATCACGCGCAGAATCGTCAGAATCAAAATCAATTGGTGAATCTAAGGCGAAACATAGGCGACATCAAGTAGTAGGGTCTTGTATATATGAGCAGTTATCGGAAATTTAGCATTGTAATGTGGGATAGCTGCATTTTAGTGTTGCAATCCAGCTTAAATAATTTTACCATTATTTTCTTGTCTTGTTCAATATGTAAAATCTCAAAAAATATATGTGGAATAAAACGCTAAAATGCAGTTAAGTGATTTTAACCGCATTTATGTGTAGTATTTTTATTAAACGGCTTTATACCGTTGGAGTAGCTACATTCTTATTAACAGAATGCTAATCTATAAAAAAGTTAGTGTTTTAACGGCACTATTAAGTACAAAAATTAGTTAACAACAATTTAGTTATGTAACTTACATAAACATTACAACGAAAAAAAAAACTAAGGGCTCTTTTAGCCGCTTTTTAGGTTACGAAATATAGTTAACTGTGTTTTTGAGTTGTACACATATGAAAAAAAAACATGATATAACGGCATTTTAACTATCTTCTAACTATCTCGAGAATAAAAATAGATAAAAATAAATCGTAAATACAGACCGATAGAGCTTTTTTTTCTGATCAAGGTGGACTTAAAAACTAAATATCGACCTGATGTTGGTTAACGGCAGTATAGTCTAGGCACGGCAGTATTATTGTCACTGTCAAAAAAGTATGTAATTTTGACGTAAATTATTTGCAAAAATGTTGTCAACATAGAAATTATAACGCATATTTGGGGAAGCATAAGACGCACGGTTTCTTTTGAGTATAATTATGTTCAAGGGGATCCATCTAGATTCTAGACAATGAAAAGAACATGTTTGGGGTTTTTTTCTAAAATATTTATTATTTACATTTGTGTTGAGCCTTTTTTTAAATTTCCTTGTAGACTTTTCATTAAAAGCTTTTATCTTTATGTTAGCCGATTTATCTTTGTAGATTACCGGAGAGGTTCTTATGTACTGAAAATAGCTCAATAAAGTTGGCTGAGACTTCGCGACCCTGCTTGTTTTTGAACTTAACTAAATACTAATCGACGCGAGAACTTTAATTACAGGATACATTATTAATAACTACTACTACTTTATTGTGTATGGAACGGATATTTTCGTGTTTAACAGAAAATTCTGTATCATCTAAGTGGAGAACCACATTGTCATCATAAGTTGGCAACGCCGTTCCAAAACCAAGTAAACCAACATGTCATCAGTTTTGTAAATAACAAAATTGTTATGCTGCTTATGAATTGCTTCGGCATGTAGAATAAGACTTAAAAAATTGAAAAAGATATCCTTAAAATGGCGAGTGCCTCGATTAAAGAATTCGGTAAAGCCTGGTGGTCGGAGGTGTACAACAGGATTATTGGTGCCGTTGTGTTTCTGGATAATGCGAGCGCTGAATGCCTCCACTGGGACGGTGGACTCTTCAACCTGCTATCTGGAGGAGCTGTTGCTGTCAGAAATTTGTCCCCATTTGAGGTAAACTGATAACCAGTCAATTAGGTAATATTATTCTCATGTAGTTACAAATAAAAATAAAAATCGCCTATAAAGCTCTAAATGTGTGTAGTGTATATTTCAGTTGATTAGTAATGTAACCTATGTGCGCCTACCGCTCACGATTTCTACACCACCTAAAGGTTGAATGAAAGAGAATAATAATATAGCTAATATAAAATTCTCACACATTTCACACACGGTCGTCTGATCCCAAACCAGGCACAGCCTGTACTATGGCAACCAGACTGCTGATAAACATACTTATATATTTCTAAATACATACATATTATTGATAAAGTACACCAAGAATTTAGATTAAGAATGCCCTGGGCATTAAGTCTGCCGATTTACAAAAGTGCATGAAGTTATAAAAATAAATAAAGCAATCTTTATTCCAAAAAATGCACACATTTTTTTAAAACAAATTTCAATGAATAAACTAAAAAAACTCCAAATTGAATGAATATATTTTATCAAACTTTGACCACCAGATGAACTCTAATTATTATAGCTTTTGCCTATGACTTCACTTTATTTAATTATCAAACAATTTGATATCACTGCATAAGGATTATCATTTAGTTTTTTTTTTATGTTATAGAACAAGCAATATTAAAAGTTTCTTGCTAATAAGTGGCTACTTCCGCCCACTGTTATTACTCTGGTCGAGCCAGCCCCTATGTGTTGAAGCATGGCTCTCCCAGGGTTCCATATGTTCTAAAGCGTGACACTTCCACTTCAAACCTATAAGAAAAGTGCATACTCCAGTTTCAAAGGCCGTCAACATGCTTGTGACTTCTGAGTTGCAGGATTTCATGGGCGGCGGTAGGCACTTTCCATCAGGTGACTTTTTATCTGATGAAAAGTGACTACCATTTGTCCCCTCTTCCATGAAAAAAAAAGTCAAGTAATCTAAGTTTTAAACCTAAATATTTTGTTGCAGTTTTGTAGAGAAGAAGACAAAAAAGCTGTGTTCATAACACAAGCAACATGGACACAGGTCCAAACAATATGTGATATTATCAGACACAGTGAGTTCACACATGTCATTGTTATATGTTGTGTGAGCCTAGACGTGTTGTACTTGGAGGTGAGCCATGACAAAGATGTTAGTGACAAGATTGCTGCAGGCAAAGGAGCCGCTGAGGGAGCCAAGTTATTGGAGAATGTTCTAAAAGAGTCCTTTGAAGGGAAGGTAATGTGATAAATGTTTACTATTTTTTGTTACTTTATTTTAATGTAGGTGTTTTAGGGACTTTATGGAAATATAAATAAATAAAGCATGGGTTACTTTTAATATGATGTTGATTATTTTCTTATTAAAGACTGAAAAAGGAAAGAGTAAGTCACATATGCTTCAGTACGAGTCTTAGTTTGTGGCACAAGATGCTACCTGATTATCCTGATCAGGTTAACTTATTAAATTATAGTTTTGCCATCAGACCTTGATAAGTGTGTGAAGTTTCAAATCAATCTGATGTTTTGAGGTGGGTGAAAATTATGTTCAAAGATTTCATTACATACATGCAGGTGAAATGTGGGAGTTGTCTTTTGTTATTAAAAAAAGAATTAATTCAACTTTTAGCACTCTTTTAGCGCATTCACCTTACTGATGCTATTATTGACCAAAATTTTAATTATTTTTACTACACTGAAGAATTATTTTTATTTATTTTCAGCAATGTTCAATAGAAATAGTACATGTACCAATATTTACAATATCTTTGACAAATATAGTGTTTGTCACACCACCATACCAGCATGTGTACCCAAAATGCAGGGCTAAAATCACCCCAGAAACAAGTCCAATGGACCTGTATACTTTACTGGTTAATGAAAGGAATGATGCCAGAAGATTGGCCGGTTCACTAAATAATATGTTAGATTCTATGAATTTAAAAGAAGATATTTATTATATGGGAGCCTACAGTACAATTTTGGCTGGTATTTTGGAAAACTCTCCTGTCTGCTTGGCTAGGCGCAAGGTAAACAAGTTTTTTTAATCTTTATAAATCTTAAATATGTTATGGAATACTGATACATACGACTAGACGAGTCACCCGCTGTTAAGCGGCTACCGTCGCTCTTGAAACACAAGAGACAAGTGTCCTTGCCACTCTCCCAAGATAACTTATTATTAGGTCTTTGCCTAGGAAGTTGGAGATTTCTATGAATTTTTTTAAACATGTATAAAAAATTTGGTCATTTTTTTTAGCTAATCAAAGTACTGACCCAAATTATCAAGCAGATTATCAACAGCAAGCTCGCTTTCACTCTTTATAGCCTTCAAATCGTCATTTCATAGTTACCGGTCTCTTGCTTCAAACCAAAATTTCCAGATTTAAAACAATGGAACGCGTTGTGTGCGCAGTTATATTTCCACGTAGGAACTCATATTAGAAAATTGTACGAATTTTTAGTTTATCCATGGCGCCAAAAATTACCACAATTTCACAAAAACAAAAAACTATTTAAAACAAATGACTGAATTTTATATTAAAATAACATGGCTTTCGATTAAAATTTTTTTAAATTTCGAATTGCTCCTCAATCCACAGATAATTAAATGTGGAATTACTGGTTTTAAAAATCTCCAACTTTATACGTAAAGACCTATTATTATTATAAATTACTAGCTGACCCGGTAAACATTTTTTTGCCATATAAATTATTTAAAAAAAAATTGTCAAAAAATAATAATTATTAGGTTTATGAAAAATAGATGTTGGCCGATTCTCAGACCTACCCGATATGCACACAAGGAGGAGGAGTTCAACCACGCACACCGTGACATGAGAATTTTATTGTATATTAGATATACCGGTGACGGATTAAGAATACGGAATGTCACCACCCCTATTCATCCCGTGAGTGTCGTAACAACCGACTAAGGGAGCAAACTACGCAGGACAACAGCACTGCGTAGAGAAGAAAAACTTGACACAAACCCTATACCAACCCGTCTGGCCAGCGTGGTATAGTAAGGCCAAAACCTCCTTTCTAAGGAGAGGCCTATGCCCAGCAGTGGACTATTAAAGGCTGTTGATGTGATGATGATGAATATATTAGTCGAAAGTACTACAACATATCATGAGTATAATATGTAGTATGATATCATAATATATGAGTTGAAACCTTCGCAGTTATTGCGGTTAATTATTAAGTATATAGGTTTGTTTTAGTTTGAAGAGGATCTTTAACTTACAGAATTGTTTGCACCCTGCCTCACTAATAATTGTAGACCGAACACTGGATGTTTGTGGCGTAACTAGTCATTCTACAGAGTCGGTGCTAGACAAGATCCTGACCTTGCTACCTCGGTTCCCAGGACATTCTACTGAAGTTGCTGTGGACATGTCGCCTCTATGTGAGGCTAAAAGTTATCCGTAAGTATCAATGAGCGAATTAAATTCTAAGTATATTTTGTAAAAAAATCTAAAATTTTAATACATGTTTTGTTTTTGTTTACTAGTATTTAATGTCTTTAGTCGCTGTAAGTGGCGATTTGAATTGTTGAATTCGTCTGCGCCGCAGTTTGCGTGCACTGACTTCTCGTTTTTCTTTCCTCAACTCTCCATCGTTACCTTAATACTTCGTACCCCACTTCCGTTTCTTATGCTCCAATCACGACCGAAATCTTCGGACAACAAACAATAATATATGCACGCATGTTAAAAGAAATAGAGAAAAAAATTTGAGACTAAATTTATGCATAAAGTTAGGTCACAGTTATATTTATATGTTACGCTCTCTGTTCCAGTCTAAGTAATGTTGATGACAATCAACTGAGTCCAGGCTGTTTGTACCACGCGACTGACGACTGTTGCATCCAAACATATGACTACATGATCAACAAGTCACAGAAAGAGGTTATGTTCGACTTATACAACAAATTGTCCAAAATCGACGTACAGAAGTCGCCCAGTCCCAAGAAGCTGTTGAAAGTCACGCCGCAAAGCGTCGAGAAAATCATCACAGCTTCTAAAGGTTACTTTAATTTTGTGTTGTTACGGAAAAATGTGTTATTGCTATTTTTATATTATTTATATTGCAATCATCATCTGCAACGTTATTTAGAATGAAGAACCTTGTGTCAATTTTACCCAATTTTTTCAACTTACTCCCGTATGACCGAAATGCCTTCCAGAAGTCTTTTTGCCGTTTCTTTTCTACTAACGTGATACTGGAGAACAGGATTTTCGGATAGTTCTGTTGCTGTGTTGTATGGCGACAGCTTCTACCAATGACGGTCATTGTAATTATTGAATGTGGTTGTAGAATGTGACAGAGAAATCCTTAGGACGAAATAAAATTATCGAAGAACACAATATGAACTGAATTTAATAGTATTTTAACTCTGAAAACTAATTTTAGAATTTATTTCAAGTGATGATTCCTTTACTCTTTACTTTGTTCAGCTCTCTTAGTTGATTTGTGGGGGTGACAAAAGGAGAATGCCTATTCATGGTTTCACTTTACAAGTCATTATTACAAGTGTTAAAAAAAACTGATTTTAATGTGACTTTTCGACCCTAAATCTCCTCAATAGACCTTAGGGTTTGAAATTAAATCTTACAAAACTACAACTTCAACCAATGACCGTTTCCATTTTAAGTTAAATGTTGCCATTATATGACATCAACCATTAATGGTTGAATGCAAATAAACAGCGTTTTAAATAAAAGAATTCGTACTGTCACATTAAAATAAAGTTATCACTTCAATATTGCAGTTTACTCTTATTATTTCGTGTATTATCCGTGTGGTGGCGGACTAAGAATACAGAGTGTCACCACCCCTATTCATCCCGTGGGTGTCGTAAGAAGCGACTAAGGGAGCAAACTACGTAGGACAACAGCACTGCAGAGAGAAGGAAAACTTGACACAAACCCTATACCAACCCGTCTGGCCAGCGTGGTATAGTAGGCCAAAACCTCCTTTCTAAGGAGAGGCCTATGTCCAGCAGTGGACTATTAAAGGCTGTTGATGATGTGATTTCGTGTATTTAGTCGTGGTTTATTTAGTAAATGTATACTTCAGTGTTAGTAAAACACGATGACACAAACATTATATTAAAAAACTCTAAATCGTTTTTAATATTTTAACATTTAATTTATCAATAACCACAAGTTCTGTTACAATATACATTCATATTTCAGATAATACTCAATGCAGGCTTAATAATGCCATGCTAATTGACACAGCAAAAAAAAGTGTAAAACTGATTTTCATACTGAATTGGTCATTTTACACATTTAATTTATCTTGCAGGCAACTACCAAATAATTGCTAACCACTTAGGGGTGTTGCAACAAGCCTGTGCAGTACTACAAACATTGAAGTCACCAGGGCGTGTGCAGCTAGAACTGCTTATGAGCCTGGAGAAACAGTTTCAAGAGAATCTCGCCACCAGTCGAGACTCCACCTCCGTACTGCAACAAGTAAGTGTGTCATCTCAGCCATAACATAATAACACAGAAAGATTACCAGGCCTCCAGTGGTGTAATTATCGAATGATTTTATAAGATTTACTATCGAAAGACAGAATAAAGTTCTAATTTTATATCAGTTACTAAATAGGCAACCAGATGGCGCAACATTCCATACTTACTTATTTATAAATGTCAAAGTCAGTTTGTTTGTTTATTATGCTTTCATGCCTAAACCTTAAAAAACGATTTTAATTGGTTTTTCACCAATGAAACAGCTACATTATCAGGGAGTAACATAGGCTCCTCTCCCGCACTAGGAATAAATCCTGTGTCGCGGGAGACTTTACAAACATACATGAAACGGACACAAAGTACACCCAGACTCAGAACAACAATTTGTGGATCACACAAAGTGTTATCCAATGTGGGGTTTGAACCCACAACACTCGGCGCAATAGAAAGCGGCGTGGCGACCGCTTTAACCACTACGCCATCCGTGCAGTCGAGTCGTTTTTATCTCGATAACCGATATACACGAGGGCAAAAGCTAGTAAATAATAATCTACTAACAAAGCACTTGACATGTTGTGAAGTTACAGGTTTTACTTTTCAAGGCATGCTATTATAATAAAAAATATTGCTCGTGTCTATATTCGAACTACGTTATAAACCTATATCTCGGCAACCAGTATCCATATTCTATCTTATCTTGTGGTATAAATACGATAGTATATATATGTGTGTGCGTGTGTCTGTGTGTGTGTGTCTGTGTGTGTGCGTGTGTCTGTGTGAGTGATGCAACATGTATGCCCGCTTGATGTCACCCTGTAGAAGGGACACCAGGTCTCAGTAGCAAGGCAATATGACTAGTATAATTGTCACTTTTCTCATGAAGTGCTTGAAGTTAATTCTACACGTCAAATGGCAAGACCATTTCCCTAACTCAGAGATCCTACGCGAACGGGGATAATGGGCATGGAATCTCTACTAATGGGCGGTTAGTTCAGATGTTGTGGTCATCTAGTACGTATGTGCGATTCCAGACTTATCGTCTTGCCTTTTTCTCGGATCTCGAGGAAAATTCAAGTCATGGGGACAGTTCCTACGTTACAGGGACGTCTTGAAACGCCACCTAACAGCATGTGACTTTCCGTGTGAAAAGTGGCAAGAGTCCATCAGGCTACTGAGCAGTACGAGGCAACCCGCCTTGAATGCATTGACCTCTAAACTGCAAATTGCAAAAAAATACCCAAGCCCGTGTAAAACTACACCTATAACTCATCTGGTCAACAAAACTGTTTGGACCTTTAAGCCTGAATATGGGTTCGCCGTTCGCATATCAAAAAACCCCAGTAGGGTTCGCCATCGCCGGATACGTCGCGGAGAACATCAACATCATCACATGTATGATCCAATCATATTGTCTAACTTGTAATAGTTTTGACTTATTTCAATCTAGTAATTGTGAGAGACTTGTACAACAGTGTCTTTCTAGTGTACATTTCGAAAATAAATATTAAGTTTTGTTTAAATAAATATTATCTTTTACAGATAAGCCATCTAATTGAAACTCGTAAGGACCGAGAACTATCTCTGGCCAGTCTTATGGCGCTACTAGTCCACATCTACTCACTAAAAGGCAAAGAAATCCGCTTCTCAAAGCAACACGAAGATGCACTAGAGAAGGTGTTGAGCCAAGCAATATATGATGACCAACGCTTAATGCTGGAGGTTTTGGAAACGGTGTCTCCAGAGGAGTGCGAAAATATTGCCAGACTTGTGATTAGCAGGTTGAAAGAGGTTGCGAACATAAGAGCTTCTATGGTGAGGTAAGCTTAACTCATGTTTTCGATAATGTCTATTCTGCTAAATAAATACACTACTTTTCCTTTTTAACCTTTTTCTTTTTTCACTTGTTTGTCGTAATAGTTTTGTAAGTATCTTCTTTTTTGTATTTGCTTCTTCATTTTTCACACTTAATTTTATGTATTGGGAATCGGTAGTAATGAATTATATTATTTTGCATAATACCATCCTTAATTTTAATAACAAACATGTTTTATGTGAGCAGTATAAGACGGATACTGCTTAGAAAAAATAATAATCTTTGTTAATAATAATTATTTAATTTCACCTTTTTAATATGGATGATTTGAAATTACTAGCCCCAACTAAATTACAATTGAAAGCATTACTAAACGGATTTATTGACGGTAAACTTTAGTAATTCTATCAAAATGGAATTTGGTGTAGACAAGTGTGCAGGCATGTATGTCAAGAAGGGCGTGATAGTAGAATCTGAAGGAAAAGAGCTTTCAGATTCATCAAAACTTAGATCTCTGTCTGCCACTGACACTTACAAGTATCTGGGTATATCACAGTCGTTGGGAATACCAGAATCTGACATGAAACAAACGTTGCAGGAACGCTTTTTTGGCCGCCTAAAAAAAGTACCTAAAAGTCTTTTATCAGGGGGCAATAAGGTGCGAGCCTGCAATGGTTAGGTCATGCCGGTTCTGATGTATTCCTTTGGTATACTTAGATCGACTCAGACCGAATTAGATGTCCTTGACAGGAGAGTTCGTACACTGCTGACTGAATTCCGAGTGCACCATCTACGTTCATCGGATATGAGATTGTATTTCGCGCGAAAGCTTGGGGGTCGCGGAATATTCAATATCAAGACCCTACACAATCGCGAAATATGCAATCTCAGAGAATATTTTCTACATACTGATGTGGGAGTGTATCGCAATGTAGTTGCAGTGGATACTGGATTCACCCCGCTCGCTCTGGCTAATGAGAATTGGCGCAAACCTGTAGTACTTAGTGTTAATGATCGCAGGGAAGTATGGAAGGGCAAAGAGCTATATGGTCGGTTTTATCGGACCCTAAACGGATCATTGTTCCGATAGTCGTATCTGCTCAAGAATTGATAGCCAAGAGCCTCGATCAACACCTTAAGAGGTTTACGTTGGACGGCTGCATCAAGGGATGCAGAAGGCAGTCCTCCTTGACATGGCTCGTATAGTTAGGAGGTTCCTATCTTTGGAGTCCTAACCACCGATGTCTTGGTCCCTGTACCCGATGTCGGTGGTCTACTATTTTTTATATTTTTAAATGTATTTTTTTCTTTTGTAATATATTTAAAAATGTAATCAATATGTGTATATAAAATAAAGAGAATAATAATTTAAAGAGTCGTTATGTATGGGATAACAAAATGTTTATTTACTTACTTATGAAAGGTCATACCAGTGTTTTTTATACATGAATGGCTTCTACACCACTTCACGACACATGACGCCCTATTTGCGAAATGAAATAGCGCAAAAACACAATAATAAACTCAATCTAAGCTTCCCGTAGCAGAACCGCTTTTTAGCTGTGTGGGACTACTAAATTAGTCTTAAGAAAATACTTCAACAACAACATTCCAAACATAATCATGTATTGAAATGATTATTATAATAATAACTTCACAATTTTTACACACGGCTATCTGATCCCACACTAGGCAGAGCCTGAGTTATGCAACCAGACTGGTAATAAACATAATATATATTTATTTTAATTACATACATAACAGATCAATTACGTCCAGATACAGAATAAATAATCGTGTACATCACTCAATATTTATCTTCTATTCGCCTACAGGCAGTTGTGATGTAGATAAGTGATCACTCATACATACACATCCTCGCAGAGACACATAATATTCTATTAACACTTCAACTCATGCATAACTTTACCTTCTCTTTTTAATGGATTAAGTTGATATTGCTTTTATACATTCTCACTGGTTGCGTAATACTTGTACACATTGTATCATGGATACTGAAGCGGGAGGGCCCTGGTGTACCTGTAATACACATTTCAATAAATCTACATCAGTCACCAGTCACTCACGTTGGTTTCGGGTACTGTATTATATACCTGTGCTATTTCCAAGAAATTGTAACTTTTGTTTAAACTTGTTGTTAATTGTGAAGAAAAATAAATAAATAAAGATGAAATGAAAATAAAATATTTGCCCCAGTTGGGAACTAGGCTCACAACATCTGGCTTAGTACTTAGGACCACTAGTCACTAGACCGCAAATAATAAGCCAGTTATTGAAGAAACACAACATATTTTCCAGGTACAATATCCTACTGAAACCTTGCGAAACGGGCGTCGGGCACGAATACAAAGGCTTACTGCAACAACTGGTTGAAGACCTGGTCGACACAGAGAGACCTGATATGTATGACTTGAAACATGGGAATGAGTCCCTCGTACTCAAGACCAAGGACTTGCTGAGGACTGGATTCAAGTAAGTCGTTTTTGCACTATACCTCTGGTTTTTAACGTTTTATCCGAAAAAGTTTGCATAAATTAACACTACAATGAAATGGTCAAAACTTGGTCGTCAAAATTAATTTTCTAAAACCACTAAACTTGTATCCACTTAACATAACAACTAAAACTAAATTAAAATTTGTGTAGTTTTTATGAAAAAGGACATAATTAATTATTAGTTAGTTAGTTATTTTTTTATTTTTTTATTTAGAGTATTTCTAGTAAGATTATAAGTACTTTTGACAGTTTAGCATAAGTACTACAATTTTGCCAATTTGTGGATTAGATCTTTGCCGAACAATACAGTAAAAAAAAAAATTGTTTAAATGATCTTAAATTAATATTATATTTAATTAACCAGTAAATGGAAGTCAATCTTACTATCGTGTGACCTAAACCAAATAAATAATGCAAGTTCTTTGCAAAATCAACGTCTACCAGCTAAGTATACCAATATAATACTGAAAAGAATGCTGAAACTCATCATCTTTCAGCGACTTAAAAAATAGGTCATTTTGTAAAAAAATACGTTTGTTAATTCAGACATCTGTCATTTATGAACCTACTTAGAAATGATGGATTTTTCGTCTTATTTAAATAAAAATGAAAACATAAAAACGTCCTAAACACTAATCAATCATGATGTAAATAGATGATTGAAGTCAGTGATCCTTATTTAAAAGTGAATTTCGTTACAGCATGCTCAAACAAAAGAAAACACGGACTGCAAAACATCCTTTGGATAACCCTACAATTATCATATTCGTCGTCGGCGGCATTACGGCTGAAGAATGCAAGCGCTTGCACCGGAGCGTGATCACGAGCGGTGTTGACAACACCGTGCTGATCGGCTCCACCAAACTGGTCACGCCTATTGAAGCTATGGAGGACGTGTTGTCCTTGACGTCGAATGCTTAATGGCTCTTTTTGGATATTGATTAACATGATTGACGAACAATGAACGCTTTTGTGAGTGGTATTTATATATGGTATAAGGATTTACTCAAAGGTTTTAAAAGATCCTGACACAGACGCGGAAGGTCTCATCACACCTTGATAATGATCTTATCGGGTTTGAAACCAGTGCAGCCTTGAAATACACATAATGAAGACTATATATCCTTAATACATTCATTAATATCTTGAAGAACTATATTTGGCGTGACTATAGACTTCGTTAGACTGCAACGTCATCAGGGGTCACACATTTGATTACCGCTCAGTGCCCAGATCTATATATGTCTATTTACAACGGTGTGTTTAAAAAAAAATGTATGTACTCATAATTCGTGTTCCCATAATGCAAGCTATGCTTAGTTTGGTTTGGGAACCTCTGTGTAACAATTAAAAAGAAAACAATTGTTTTTGTTCAACTATTTTAAGATATACTCAAAACAAACGGATCAACTCGCTTCTTTATAATCCTTAGCATTAATATGTATGGGAATTGATCAGAACGTATTAGAACCCTAACTGAGGCCGCGGACTTATTCAAAATATCATATAATTTATTCGAACGTGATATTACTAAAATGCCGTTTTACTTACACCTTGAGGCAGACATCTTATCGTAAAAAGTAAAATCCTTGAAAGTAGATCAAGTTTGATTACACAATATATTATAGTCTATTTTATAGCTATTTTATAGCCTCATTTTTTGCCTCAATAAATTGTGTTAAAGATTTATATTTGCAAAAAAGTTAGTTTGCAAAATTTAAAAAACAATGAAGTGAAAAAAATTGTTGGGGTAGAATTGACTAGACCGCATCAGTCAAAGAGGTAAAGACAACATATTCTTTTAGAAATTTGCCAAAATGGCTTTGCAAAATTCTAGTTTATGAAGAGGAATGTACTTATAAGCGTAATTATTATATTATTATGGTTATGTTATGATGATTTTAATGACTTGTATAATATTGACAGACTGCACGGATGGCGTAGTGGTTTCAGCGGTCACCTCGCCGCTTCCAACTGCGCTGAGTGTTGTAGGTCCGATCCCCACATGGGACGACACTTTGTGTGATCCACAAATTGTTGTTCTGAGTCTGGGTATTCTTTGTGTCCGTTTAATTAATGTTTGTAAAGTCCCCGCGACACATTAATACCTATTCCTAATGCGGGAGTTGTCTTTATATCATGTAATAACATCGATATGTGTATGTATATACGTGTATTACAATTTTCTAAGTAGACTTTGAGTTGTCGTTGAAATGTAACTGAGTTTATGTAACCGAAAGAACGTAAGGGTAAGTTGGTTCAAGTCGGTAGTAAGTGTGATTCGAACTCGCACTTGCTTGAATAGTAATAGGAGCAGTTACAGATTACGCTTTGTTCACGTGTGCTCATATAGATATATCTTATATATAAAATTCTCGTGTCACAATGTTCGTTCCCGTACTCCTCCGAAACGGCTTGACCGATTCTCATGAAATTTTGTGTGCACATCGGGTAGGTCTGAGAATCGGCCAACATCTATTTTTCATACCCCTAAATGGTAAGGGTGACCCATCCCTATTTTTTTTTTGTTTTGCAATACAACGTTTGCCGGGTCAGCTAGTGATATATAGATATACTAGCTGATCCGGCAAACGTTGTATTGCAACAAAAAAAAATTAGGGATGGGTCACCCTTACCATTCAAAATTGTGAATCTAAACCATTCCCAGATCCCCTTGAACACACACAAAATATTTCATCAAAATCGGTCCAGTCGTTTGAGAGAAGTTCAGTGACATACACACTCACAGAAGAATTATATATATAAAGATGGACTTATAAGTGCGAAATTTTTTTATTTGTTGAAAATCCCTCTGCAAGTCCCAGTAAATCGACAAAAATGAGCTTTTAAAAATAAATGTGAAGATGCAGAAAAACGCCAATCTGTATCTGCTTTTATAATATAATTATTTGTTGTTATAATTTGTAGTTTTTTTTATTTATTACTTGTATACGAAATGAGTTATTATTTATTACGAAATAAATGTTATGTAAAATATATGTATGTATGTTAACGCAATGCAATTACAATGCAAAATAAAATAAACTTCTTTTGAATACTAAGACCTGTTTCTGTTAAAACCAAAAATATGAACAAGTAAAAGCGCTTGTTAAAAGTTATTTATAGTTGCGTTTTGTTCTCTTAATAGTACTACATAACGAATAAGTCTTTGTTATGGCCGGTTAAGAAAGTAATCCTGCAATGCATTGTACCATATTAATGTGGTTTAATAAGATAAGGATAATTTAAATGAAATGCTTGAATAAATACGGCGTCAGTACCCCTCGTTTAGATTATGACAATATAATGTATACATAAATTATATAAACAAAGGGTACAGAGACAAGTTAAACAGTAAAATATTGCGAATATCGAAATTAAACGTATTTAATTACATTAAATTCTACATTATCATATGACTAATTCCTGCTATTGTCCATTGCAAGCAAGCTAGGAATGGGACAGAACCACAGTGAACTTTGAAAGACCGGTGATTTATCATTCAAATATTTGTACGTAGGTTAGGGTTACTACTCACTCACGTGTTGTTGCCAATAAGCTGTTTTCAGACAATGCATAAAGACCCTATTTCGCCTATTTAGCAGTAAAACTAGTAATTATTTTATTATATATAGCTACCATTCCCTAAATCATAATAAAAAAAATATGTACTATATTTACTGTTAAATAGCGTCTAATCTAACTACCTAGCAACCCTAACCTATGTACGCAAAAATCGAATGATAAATCGCAGTTCTCTGTGATTTTGTGCCATGTCTAGTGCAAGCCCTAGCGAGCAATAGCGAATGTAATGTTTCTCAAAAAGCGCCATCTAGCGGCGAGAAGCTTTAAACTTTCATAGACGTCATTATGCAAAATGAAAATGTTTTAATAATTTTTATACAAATATTAGGAATATAAGGAGTGGGAAAGGTAGAAAAATAAAATTGCGATAACATTTTAAAAGTTTATTTTGTGACAATTTTTACATTTCGTCTTTGTCAGTCCGTTCTAATTCTAACTAAGTATCTAAGTAAATATATTTTATTCCAAGCGAGCAATCTATGGTGTAGACAAAATTATATTTTAAGTGTGGACATTTTCGTTTTGACCAAAGACAAAGACAGCAATATGACGATAAATGCAAAGGACACTGTGTAACGATTAAAAAAACTTACCTACTTAACCTAGTGAGTTTAGATTACAATAATATGTAGGTACCATACAGTATAGTACCATAACGTTTTAGTCACAGCTCATAAAGTGGTAAATAGACAAATAAAAAGACAATTGAAAAAAAAACTGTCTTTTGTGCGATTAAAACCTTTGCTACAAATACTGTAATAATTAAAACTAATTGTTCTAAGTTGTGCCTTGGAACAATATTAAATTAAAAATACTTTCATTATTAGGCCACGTAAAAAAGGTTTTGTTTTTCACTATTACTTATGATTTTGTATTCAGAATACGAAAATGCTACCAGCAGGTCAGCAGTAGATATAATATTTTATAAAGTGAACATTTTTCGGAAGACGGCAACATTTTGTTTTCTATCTATAATTTATTACTATCACATTTTTCTTGTAATAAGTCTCTTATTGCCTATTTATTATTGTATCGCCAATTACATACACTAATACTTCGGTTCTAAGAAGTGAATTTAACACGTGACCCGTGTTTAAAATTAAGCAAAAAAGCAAGTAAAAAAAACTAAGATTGGCATTTTGTAGGTCATACCTCGAATACACCAATTAATGTCATACACTTACACACAGCAAAAATGGGATTCAATTTCACTACATAATTATTTGTCATTCAATTCCACTTATTTAACAAAACTAAATCTTGATATTGAAATCTAGCACAGGTTCGTATTAAAGTTCATTAACCTTAATATTGTCTATGGTTAGGCACTGATCAGTCGCCGGCAACGTCGCCGCCCTTTCTGAAGTCAGCATTTGCGAAAATGGCGGTTCTATTTCTGTAGATGGCGCACACGATAGAGCCTCGGCCGCGGTAGCGCACCATACCATGTCCCTTTGCTCGCAGCCCTTTCACAATGTCCTGCATAATATGCATGATTCTATTAGTACTCTTTACCTAAGGTATAAAACTTGGAAAATATATGAGTATGTTATAAAGACAGAAGTAGTCCTTCACGACAAAGATAAACTAATGTTTTTAAAGAAAGTGATAAAGACACTAAAAATATGTAGAGTTTTTTATCAAGACTTTAATTATGATGACAAAATAGGACCACGTCCACAAATTAATATTTAAACTGCCCAGTAATCGATTTAGAGCGACACCAATCACTTTAAGCTGATTATAAATTTCTATTTTTTTACCGGTACGATGTATTATTTAATCTTCAAGATTATATGAGTATGTTATCTCTAAGTGAAAGTTCTTGTATTGTTTACAAGTCGATTTCAAAGTTAGTGATAACGTCAATACTTTAATAGCTTTATGTCTCATATGTATATTGCTGCTACATTTAATTACAAATTAAATAGTGCTCTAAATTTACCTCCGTGATGCCGAACTCGTATTCTGTTACCATTGGTGTTATTTGATGATGGAAACGAGCTTCATCTACAGCTTCCTTTATAGTTTGATTAAACCACAACTTGCGCATTATTACCTGTGAACATATTAATGATACAATGATAATTATTGTATAGGTACACTAGCTTTTGCCATCGACTTTGTCCGCGTGTTGGTCGACATCAGCTATCGTAGAGGATACCCTACTACCAAGAATAACGAAGTTTCATATAAATTCCCAACCCTCATTTTGCACCTTGGGGGTGGCATTTTAATTGCACACTTACGTCACCTAAGGATTTGTGTAAATTTCAAGCTTCTTTTCTCAAGAATCAAAGTATCTTCAAATAAAATTTCATCTAAATCGGTTCAGCGGTTATTGATTCCCCACACAAACTTCCACCCCTCTTTTCACCCCCTTAAAGGATGATTTCTGGGATAAAAACTACCCTATGTCCTTTCCCGGGACTCGGACGATCTCTGTACCAAATTTCATCTAAATCGGTTCAGCGGTTTAAGCGTGAAGAGGTAACAGACAGACAGACTGACAGACACACTTCCACATTTATAAAATTAGTATTAGTATTGATTGAACTTAAAATAATGTAGCCAGTAGGAAAGTTAATGGTTACTCACCAAAGCAACAGCAGTAGTGATTTTAGTTCCTCCTGAAGCTCCTATAACCAGCTTAGCATTTCCATTCTGGTCCACAATGATGCTTGGACCCATTGACGAGAGAGGTCTCTTGTAAGGCGCGATATAATTGGCCGTGGCGGGCTTCAGACCGAAATAGTTGGTGATGCCCGGAGACGAGAAGTCATCCATTACATTGTTCATTGCTATGCCTGTCTTGAGAGTCATGAATCCCGCTCCAAAGCTGTAAAGTCCCTTAATGATTAATAATTTAGCAAAAAGAAAACACATTCATTAATTCGAAAAATAATTTTATAAGTATTTGTTATCTTATGTGACTACTGACGTAAGTCGATGAACTCATATGCACAGAGTACATTGTAACTCATATGTATTCGTATATTTTTTTACGTCTAAAATATCTCTAGGCGCTAGATACCACCGAAAATGAAGCCAATACTTTGTACTGTAACCTCTTTCTTATAGAATCTAGAATATAATTAGAGATTACATGTGATGGAATGTAAAGAAACTAGATTGTTAGCGGTATTTCAATGCTTAGAAATGGAAGACGGTATATTCTCGGAACGAGTACGACTATTGTGTGTGTTGATCTATGACTTTAGGTTTACGTAAAAGACGATTTTAAACAATCTTTTAAATTTTTATGAAATAAAGATAGTTTGAGTGTAACTATATCTAAGTGTGTAGGTATAGATTTCAATATCGAAATAACGAACTTCAATGCCTTTGTGACTATACCAATGAAACTGATTTTACTTTGAAACAATTTTTTTAATAATCGTCAGTCGTTTTCCTCATTTATTAATTTTTGGCTTTTTTGGTATATAAGCTTTTGCCAGCGACAAGCGACGTGTGATAACGTAACAAACAAACTCACTTTCACATTTATAATATAGGTAAGTATGGAAGTATAGATATACATATTTATTGATAAAAAAATAACATTGTCTATCGATTTTGAATCATGTTTCGATTTTCGAATCCACATGATTTGAATATAGAGCTGGTGCAATTCCGAACTCTGGAGAATATTTAATATCTATGCTTTTTTAAATGAGCTGAGTCAAAAAAATCGTAAAGGACTTAGAGATCTCGCTTATACTTAGTACTGATAATATGATTACTAATATCTGTGTAAGGTGACGTTCGTACATAATGGTAGACCTCTTAGGCCTACAATTTTAAATGATAAGTCAAAGATGTGCTTTCTGTTCTACTTACTAAAAGTTCAGCGAGCTTGTGGCAGAAACAGCATCTCCATTCGGAGCGATGATGGATATATGAGCGGTGCCTGAATCTGGTTGGTTGTAGGAATCTGCATCGTACGTGGCCGAGCTGTTACTAGTCATGGTGTCATTTATGCGGAGACGTAACTCCGTGCCAAACTCCTTTGACGATAGGTTAGCTAAGAGCTGTAAACAAGAAGTTTATTCATGTAACACATGAAAAACGGAGTTTAAAAAGGCATTCTTGATGTCACTCTATTCCATGATTACGAATTGAGTGCATTCTTTCAAAAAAGTCCACATCTGTGATGAAGAGCCAAAAAAATCAAGTTTAACGCACACAAACTCATTGTTTATGCATAAAATGTATTTCTTTTTAACTCTGAAGAGAAATGAACAAATACCAAGTTTAAGTTTAATGCACGCGCACTTAGTATCTGTACACGAAATTTAAATTTTATTGCACTTTTCAGTTACTAAAATTTGATTGAGTTATCTAAACAGCGAATTACGAAAAAACGTAGTAGTAAATACATAAGTAGTATTTTTCCATGATTAGAATTTTGACAAGCAGATTGATTATCAGATTTCACGGTCAGTAGGTCAAATATTGGATGTCGCGATATTATGATAATAAAAAAACGTATAATCATCGCGTGAGTCTGTTTTGTAAAACATTCTGCGTCACATAATCGCCGTCTTCTTTGTTTATATTATGACATGCAAATTATTTGGTACAAATAGATCGATTATTGCAGTTTTTGCCATCACGTTGAATTTTACTGTTATCAATACAACAAATGTTTTTACAAACGAATAAAAAGTGAAATGCTGGGACAACATACCTACATCGAAATAATAATCCAGTTCCTAAAAATTATCCGTTATCGTAATCGTTCCGTGTGGTGACGGATTAAGGATACGGAGTGTCTTCACCCCTATTCATCGCGTGAATGTCGTAGGAGCTGACTAAGGCAGCAAACTACGCAAGACAACAGCACTCCGAAGAGAAAGAAAACTTGACTCAAGCCCTATACCAACCCGTCTGACCAAGCGTGGTATAGTAGACCAAAACCTCCATTTTAAGAAGAGGCCTATACTAAAAATTAACTGACATTTCCTTAATCTCTTGAGAAACACTTCCATTTCATTCAATTTTGTTATATGTGGGATAGATAGCCGTGGGAGGGCCATGCTTCGGCATAAATGTATACATTAAAATGAGTTTCTCGACCAAAAATAGAACTTTGGAAAGTTACACGATCTCTCCGTTCCCTATTTCACTCTTTTGCAAAGCCAAAAACTATGTTTAAACATCTCCAGAAGAAATCTCTTATTACTCAGGTATAATTTATCAACCTTCATTTATGCCTTACCTCTTTCAAGTCCAAGAAATCCATATCACCCAATTTGGTTCTTTGTACATATGCAAACTTAAAAGCTTCGATGATCCTGTGGTAGGTAAGGATTTTGTCTTCCGTCGTGTTTATACTGGACGCGTTGAAGTTATACCCACTAAGGATGTTCAGGATGTTGACCAGGATAGCTCCGGAGCTCGGTGGAGGCGGCGAGTAAATTGTGTCTCCATTGTCGAGAGATGCTGCAATTGGTTCCAAGATTTGTGCTCTGGAAAGAAATGGAAGAAACAGATAATGTTATAAAGATGTAGATTAATACATTTTTGTATTTAGATTATATACTAAAATATACTAAAAAAATATACTAAAATCTTAAGTCGCTAGTATTCAAACTAGCGTCTTAAGATTTTAGTTATTTGTACTCCTTTTAAAATACCAACCATGACGTTTAGTCTTTGGCTTTCCACAGTACAATTGCATGATTTCTCAAACGCTATCTTAATGTGAAAACCACTTGATAATGCTAATAACTATTCCCACGCTTTAATTTGACCTTTATTTACAAGAGAGAGGAGCGGATACAAAGAACTGGCAAATTTTGACTAACTTTTGCTACCATTGTACGTAACTTACTACCTACTCTAAAGTTATTATGTATCTTACTGTGTTACTTTCAAACATTTTTATTACAATAAAGTCGTATTATTTTCAATACCTACCAGTCGCGTCCTAACTAATAATACTAATCACTTTTTGCTATACGGCTCGACGGGAGTGATAGCACGGATTAACAGAAAACCAGTTTTAAACAAGTTTTTCCTGGCTTTTCACCGAGTCAGTGAAATAACCGCAGGACCATCCCTCTGCCAAAAATTTAGTAGGGGGGGCCTTCGGTAAACCACCTTTACTGGTCCTGATACTCATAAGGGTATTCTTGCCTTGCTTTGCTTGATTTATTTTTATGGTATAGGTGCTGTACCATAAAAATAAATAAGTAAGTATCTATGTCTCGTTTCGTGATTACAATGTTTGACATTTGGGAGCGATTCTTTACAAAAGGTCGATTTTGCAAACATTAAAAGTGACATCCTAATTAAAAGTTACACACAGACGAGAAAATTATACATAGTTATACATATATATATACGATCAATTTAGTCCATCGATAAGGTACTTACCGATGGACTAAATTGATTGTGCTGGTGTGAGTCTAAATCAAGCCTTTATAGTGACTGCGATAACCTGTGATAACCGTGATGTAGAAATATGATGCGGTAGGCGAAAAAATAAAATACTAAATTTGACGTAGTTCATAAGAATTTGACATTTAATACGTATCCAAGTCGCAGAAGTTTAATTTGTACAATTATTAGTTATATAGACTACGAATATATTAATGTTATTATGAAAATAATAAATATATGTTGCCACTGTTGACAGTGCGATAGGTCGCAGCGTTTACTATCTGATGACCTCTGCATAATTCCGTACCTTTCCACAATCGTGTCCTAGTATTCGTCAAGTAGGTATTTGACACTATTTTTTTATTGCTGTGTTTGTATGATCTGCAAATATTTCGTTTTGGAGTTTTCTATGTTTAAAATGTTTGTATTTACAAAAAAAAAAGTTACAAAGTACAAGCTCTGCTTAGTTTGAAACTAGATGGCGTTGTGTGTTAGATGTACGTATGACGCATATAGTAAACTTTTTTTTTAATTTAAAAAACGCATCTGCATTAGGAATATATCCTGTGAGATATATTCATATCATCATCATCATCATCCATCGCGTGGGACTTCACAAACATACATAAAACGGACACAAAAAACACCCCAACCAATTTGTGGATCACACAAAGTGTCGTGTGTGGGGATCCGGCCTATTATAGGTTTTAAAATGTATCTATACGCATATATTATATAAACCTGGGCAGATTGTTTTCCTTAATTGAACGCAGGACAAGTGTAAATCCGTTTTGTGTACCGAGGGTTCAATATTTTTAAAATGATGTTTTTATTTGTATCTGATGAAAATAATAATAATTTCACACATCTCAAACACAGCCTTCTGATCCCAAGCAAGGAAGAACCTGTACTATGGTAACTAGACTACTGATAAACATACTTATAAATACATACATATTTGTAAATACTTACATATTTTAGATAAATTACACCCAGACACAATTATTTGTCCTGGGCAATCGAACCCACGACCTCTGGCCTTGCAGTCAGGGTCACTAACCAACAGGCCAGTCAATGATTAATAAATTAATAAATAATTTGTAACTTGTAAAATATTAAGTCATAGAGTATCATTTGCCATGTAGAACTATTACATTCCCAAGAAGGGTTGGCGTAAGGCAAAAAAGAAAAAACCGTTTTGCAATGAAATTAAGGCCGCTGCGAAAAAGGATGTCGAGTGATAGAAGAGAATGAAAGAAGAAGATTTATTGCGCCAACCCTTTCATTTGGAGAAAAAGTAAGAAGTAGATGGCACGAAAGAAGGAATTTCACAAGAAATTAAAAAGCTTCGGTTTTTTTACTTGGGCCGTATAACTTTCCCTATTCCCAAATTTTGTGAATTTTAGTTAATTTAATTGTCAAAAAAGTTCAAGCATAAATAACACAAAGTCTTTTTCATTATACAGAGAACAATAGGAAACAACTTTATATCATGTATTATGATTTAAAATAAACAAATGACAATAACATTGGATTTTTGTTAAAACAATAACGTACTTCTAACAATTCCACCACATAAAAAACTCATATTTTTCCATGTAACTCTATGACGCATTCATATAATTTAACCAGATGTCGAATACAAGAAAAAAAAACTCAGTTCAATTAAAAAAAGTCATTATTTTTCGCGTTTGAAACTTTTTTAAACCATAGGTACAGGTCATCATCTCATTTTTAGTCACTAGGTACTAAACAGTAAAAGAAATTATTTGTCACTTAATATAAATATATAAAACAGAAATATATAAAACAAGCTTTACCAGTGAACTGAAATAAAGAGTAATAAAAATCACATTCATCCACCTCCTGGTTCCATGATCAAGTTCCATAATCTTTTATACCCCCCTTAAGGAACTCTGGGAGTTCAAAAGGTTAGGCTTGACTCATAAAACTAAACTAAACTAAACTCATAAATTCGAAAGGTTTGCAAGGTAGTCAAAATTGTACATGCAAAGTTTCCTTCCGATAAGAAAATTAGAAGTACATAGGGTTAAATGAACTCCTAGGTTTGTATACATAGTTAGTTTCAAGTGAAGCTGATAAGCCTGCGAATTTGCCTGTTCTGATATCTCAAGAAAATTTTACTTATAAGTATTGTTGGCAAGTTACAATGTTATCGTTAAAGGAATTCGGAACGAATTCATAAATTCACGGTCAATTATATTGGCAACGGTTAATCTTTTATATAGCGAACTTTCTAGAACTCATAAGTTACTAGTACCTACCTATTATTTCTCAGTTTTATTTCCATAGTTCGTAAGATTGTAATAAAATTATGGTGTACTATACTAACATAGGCCGAATTTTTATTTCATTATTTGCATACTGGGCAAATGCAACAGAAAATTTTAAGATTGTTGAGATCGAAAATAAAGGGACTAGTACGAGGGTGGTCTGAAAAGTTGCCGACCTAACAAAGATACAAGAACTTTTTTCAGAATTTTCTTGAAATCTTTGTACCCCGAGCGCAATTTTTAGATGATCTGGTGGGCTAGATCTGGTGAGTAAGGTAGTGGTGAAGCAGTTCAAACCGTAATTCGTTGATTTTCGCCATGGCAACCGTTGAGGTTTGAGACGGTGCGTTGTCTTGGTGAATCAGGGTTTCCTTTTTCTGCAAATGTGACCGTTTTTCCGCAAGTTCTGCCTTCAGTTTGTCAAGTACTGATGCGTAGTATGCTCCGGTAATGGTTTTTTCTTTTGGAGATAATCGATTAAAATAACGCCATGACTATCCCAAAAAACAGTCGCCATTACTTTCCCAGCTGAAAAAACAGATTTTGCCTTTTTTGGAGCCGGTTCCCCCTTTGCAGTCCACTGTTTGGACTGTATTTTTGTTTCAGGCGTATAATGGTGTATCCAAGTTTCATCTACAGTAATTAATAGGCGTTGAAACTCGGATTTATTGCGCCTAAACTGCGCCAACAGAGCGTTGGAAATGTTCATTCGAACACGTTTTTGGTCTAACGTGAGCAAACGCGGCACCCAACGCGCAGACAGCCTTCTCATGTCTAAATGTTGATTTAATATATGACAAACACGTTCTTTTGACATGTTCATAACCTCTGCTATCTCTCTCACTTTAATTTCGCGGTCGCACCATTTGGTTAACTTTGGCGATGTTTTCGTCAGTAGTTGCAGTTTTTGGACGTCCCGAACGTTGATCGTCTCCCAAGCTCTTACGGCCACGTTAGATATATTAATATTATATGACAGCTCGATTCTCGGTTTTGCCCATTTTCATAAAAACACACATCAACTCACTCAAACGACTGTTACATAACAACTACGCGTCCAAAATGGCTGAAACTTTGGCGAGTAACTGTCAACAGATGAACAACGAAATTCAGTAGCTTTTATTCCCGAGTGCTGCCATCTTCGTGTTGAGGTCGGAAACTTTTCATACCACCCTCCCTATTACTCCACCCCTATTACTAATTTCATCTTTACTTCATCATCAGCAGCCTTTAATAGTCGACTGCTGAACATGGGCCTCTCCTTAGAAGGGAGGCGGAGGTTTGTCCGTGCGGTGACGGATGAAGAATACGGAGTATCACCACCGCTATTCATCCCGTGGGTGTCGCAAGAGCCGACTAAGGGAGCAAACTACGCAGGACATCAGCACTGCAAAGAGAAGGAAAACTAGACACAAATCCTATACCAACCCGTCTGGCCAACGTGGTAGGCTAAAACCTGCTTTCATTTTTACTTACTACTACTCTGACTTTAATTAGTTTGCAATTTCACATACATACCTAAATAAATAATGCGAGTGAGAACGAAGGTGTTTAATAAAATAATGTTACATAAGCTTAAAAATGTAATAAGAGTTGAGGACTGGAGCCAAGTCTTTAAATCAAGTTTACTTGCGGTGAAATCTGTTGCATCATATCCACCGAGGCGGGGACAGCAGACTGGAAATACTTAGTAATTCGTTGATAAATAAATTATCCTAAAGATATTTTAATTTCATATTTTACTTTTTACTACAAAAATAATATAGAATAGTCACATCACACATCACATC